TTAATGTCCATAACACCAAGAGATATGTACTTGGCATTTGAAAAGGTTGTTACTTATATATCCACTGTGCTGTTTTAAATGAAATCTTGATGAATTATGGCCAATTGGCCATATTTGTTACTGCTGACTGCTGACCATAATTTTCTTGTTCTCCTTGCCAGCAATTGAAAAATCTTCCAGACCGTAATGCACATGATATGCTTTCAGAGAGTGATATTCGAGTACTGTTCCTAAACACACTTAATTGCTCAATACTGGATTTGCCAAATATAGTACCAGTCACTTTCTTATAGCAATGTTATTCTCAAGTTTGTTGCTTGTAGACTATACATGTTTGAAATGAGAGATAAACTTTTCAATTTTGGAAGGGATATGTTGTCATTTTGTCTTTTCCAGAGTCAGGTTCAGCTTTCCAATCTTGGGAGGGATATGTTGTCATAGTGGCTCTTTCTGTATGGTTGTTAGATCTGTTTGACGTTGTGCACTAGGATGACATTTTAGCTCACTGCTGGGTGTGCATTGGCCAGGACCAGGGCATGTCATAGGCCTTTTCCATTTCTTGTTTCTGGACCAGCACAGGATTGTTGACACAAATGACTGGTGTGGCGACCATGTGTCATTTGGTTGATTGAGCTTCTTGGGCTTTGACCTTTGTTAATGTGACAATATATATTATTAAGCTGACATTTTCTTGCGGCCACTACTGAATCTGTGTATCCAGAAATTCCAATGATTGTTTGTTTAGATGAGAAGATGTCATTTGAGGATTTTTGGCAATGAAAATATGGCCCTAGCTTAGATGACAGGAGCATATTAATTCCACTTTTGTACTATCAATTCTTTTTCCCATATATTTTCCCTCTGGTTCATTGTATTTATGTAAGGATAAATGTTTCTTGTTGCTACGATGGCCTTCTATAATCTGCTAGCCTTGGTCTCAGAATTTCTTTTGTTTTCTGTGTTTTTGACCTAGTGTTTTGTTTTACTTATTTGTAAATTTTTTCTCAGATTTTTCATACCCCTGAAGGAATGCTTTCTAGTGAGCAAGGCGTTTATGTTGCAGAATCTGTTGCTTCTAAGAACACAAGACAGGCGAAGGGCCGTTTTCGGATGTACGAGGACCACAGTGACACGGTAGTGATTATTCCTTTTCATTTATTCCTCTTTACTTTTTTTGCTCCTACTGCCACCTGATGTTATTTTCATTTGCAACTCTCTCTCTTCCCAGGATGATGTCAATTCTAATCAGTTTGCGAAGAGAGAACCAACTGGTAGAGAAGCTGCTGGTTTGGGTAAAAAGGATATTGGGAAGTTGATGAAGAAAGCTGGCATGTTATTTTGCACTTGGTAAATTAATTGATACTGGTAGTCATTAAAATTATTTCCTGTTTAACATGCTTTTGTTTCATTGTCTCTGGTTTTTGTAGATAAAGGAAAGACAGCAAAAGAAGAGGCTCGTGAATTATTGCTGAAGGAGGAGGCAGCTGTACGAGATAAGGTTAGAGGTATACAGGACAACCTTTCGTTGATGCTGAGAGCTCTTGGGGAAATGGCCATCTCGAACCCTGTATTTGCACACAGTCAACTACCTTCCCTGGTTCGTGTCATGCAACCTGCTTTTCTTTATGTGTTACTTTTGTTGATGTATAGACAAACAGGTGATATTTCACAAGCATTATGTCAGAATGTGACAGTTCTTCTACTTCTTACTCTGTTTTATGCGAAGATCAAAATGTTTGATGCGTAGCTGCAGCACATGTTGTTATTAGTCTACAGTTCTCTTAAATGGTCACTGTGAAACTAAACTTGAACTGCATTTCCTTTTGTCTACAGTTCTCGTAAATGGTCACTGTGAATTAGTCTACAGTTCTCGTAAATGGTCACTGTGAAACTGAACTTCAATTGCCTTTCCTTTTGTCTGCGGTTCTCTTAAATGGTCGCTGTGAAACTAAACTTCAACTGCCTTTCCTTTTCTGATCCCCAATTCCTCAGCAATTAGCTTTGATCACTTTTATTGTATGAACATCTGCATGCTAGGAGATGGGAGAGAACGATATATCAATGCTTGCTATTGTTCATTTTAAGAGCCCGCTAGATATTTTAATTTTATGATGGTTGTTTGGAAACAATAATTTTCATGTTAGATAATTTCTTCCATATTGGTCCTAATCTGTTTCTCATATGAGTTCTGATTCTCTCTCTTGGATCTGGTGATTTAAATTTTGTTTCAGTGCTTGTATCGTTAAGGGTTTTTATTCTTCTTATACTTTAAGCTCCTCTATGTGGTCCTAATCCTCTTCTTTTGTGCATGTTATCAGATTAAGTTTGTTGACCCTTTGCTACAGTCACCTATAGTGAGTGACGTGGCCTATGAGACCTTGGTGAAGCTATCAAGATGTACAGCCGCACCTCTTTGTCATTGGGCTCTTGACATTGCTACTGCTCTACGCCTTATTGTGACCAAGGATGTCAGTGTTCTCTTGGATCTTATTCCAATAGCTGGTGATGGGGAAGCCAATGAGAGTCCTTCATTGGGTCTTTTTGAGAGAATAATTAATGGCTTATCTGTGTCTTGTAAACCTGGACCTCTTCCTGTAGATTCTTTTACTTTTGTATTTCCTGTAAGTTTTCCTCCTTATCATGTATAACTAAATTCATTGCAACTTCTTGTTAATCTATATGCAATGTCATTGTTCTCAGATAATGGAGCACATTCTATTATCACCCAAGAAGACTGGACTTCATGATGATGTGCTTCGTATTCTCTATTTGCACATGGATCCACTGTTACCCCTTCCTAGACTTCGAATGCTATCAGTTAGATATCTAAACTTTCGTTTTTGATTAACCAATGTGATATATATGATTTTTCAGATTTCTGTCTGTTTTCTTTTTGCGTGCAATATAATTCAATCTTTCTGTTGCAGGCTCTTTATCATGTTCTAGGTGTTGTTCCTGCCTATCAGGGCTCCATTGGACCAGCATTAAATGAATTGTGCCTAGGTTTACAACCAGAGGAAGTTGCACCTGTATGATGATACATTTTAACTTTGGTTTCATTGTTCATGTAACTCTGTTTAACCTTCCATGATTTTATTTTCAAATATTTATGGTTACAGGCACTGTATGGAGTGTATGCAAAAGATGTTCATGTAAGAATGGCCTGCTTAAATGCCATAAAATGTATTCCAGCAGTTGCCAGCCGATCTGTCCCCGAGAATGTTGAGGTTGCAACTAGTCTTTGGATTGCTCTACATGATCCAGAAAAGGTTTGGTTTGCCAGTTGTGGTTTTCTTTGATGTAATTGAATTTGGTAATGAACTTTTTGTTTTGTAACAGGAAATAGTCCAGTGGATAGTTTCTTCAGCTTATTTCCATCACCTGTTCTATTGATTGTTCACCTATATTTTCTTCCCCTTGATGTGTAATTATAAATGTCAACCTTGCATTTTTTTTTCATTGTTTTTGCAAGTGCATCAAACTTGTTCCTCCACTTTGAAGATTCTCGTGACTTGATATTTTATTGCTTAAAATGTACTGCGTGCTGTGAGGCATCTACTACTAAATTCCCTGTTTCACTCTTGTTGTGCTTTCCAAATTCATATTTTCTGCCATCATCATCAATTTATAAGTCTGTCTATTTAAGAGCTTTGGGTGTTTCTTAGTTTTTTATTCAACATGTATTATTCTTAGTTAGGATTCTATTTCCTATCTAGATATGGTCATTTTGCCCCTATATAAAGCATTGTACTTTGATATTGGATAATTGTCTGTCCAAGGAGAACTATCATTGAGAATGTTGGCATTTAGTATTGCCTAGTCAACTTTAGATATCTTAACTCTCCTTCTGGATTCAAGGATCTCTTGTAGATATTTAGGTTAGTTCTATCCTTACCCTTCATTTACCTATCATGTTCAATGCTACTCATACTTTATATTTCCTGGTAAATTTACCAGAGGCTAAATGCATTTTTATGTATCCATGGTCCTTTCCCAAATTTTTTAGTTTGATCTGTCTGTTATTTGCTGCTTCTCGAGTAACTTAAATGCTGTAACCTTCCTGGAGGTTTAGCTAAATTTCATATGCATATGGTAAAGTTTATCATACAAGGGATTGTGTAACAGCCATCAAAACATCTATTTAAGACCTTGAATGATTGAGCAACTTAATGTTGTGACTTAAGTTGTGACTCTGCATTTGAATACACTAGAAAGATCTTCACTTGTCATATAATGATTGCTCATTATAGAAGTATTCTGAGACATTTGAATTAAGTTAGTGTCATCAATGATTGCTTGAACATCACCTGGAAATTCTATGAACTGGGCTATTAACCATTTATGGTCCATGTTTGATTGCTTGAACATCACCTGGAAATTCTGTGAACTGGGCTATTAACCATTTATGGTCCAGTCAAATAGTGGATCTGGAAATGCACAATAAATACAAACAGCTAACTTGCATGCTCTAGTTGGTGAATTAACAAGTAGTTCTTTGGTCATCTGGTGATTTTCTTTTAACTGCCATCATATAATTAGTGGATTTGATCCTAGTAGGCAATTTGATTAAGTTTATACAGAATCAGGGCAAGTTCAACCACTTTTGTTACGTCTCTGATTTGTATGGTTGCGAGCAGTTAAAACCTTCTGTTGGTTTCAAACTTTCTATTGGTTTCCTTTTTATTTTTTATATTTTCATGCACAGGGTATCTCTTGGTCTGTTTGGGCCTAAGAAATAGTTGTCCATGGCACGGGACTTGTTGTGCCAGTCATGCCAGCCCCTTGTGTTGATGAGTGCCCACCTTGTTATGGCAATGTGTTCTCATACTAATTTGTGTTTGCAATGAATCCTCCAAAAGATACTGTTCTTCATGTTTACAATTATATAGAGTACATGGTTCTGAACTTGATCCTGTAACATTCTTCCATCTTAAATTTCACTTATTTTACCTTGTTGTTTTTAAGTCATTGGTTAGTTGATCAAATTATCATACTGGTTTTCATTAGTTAATTATTTCATTTAGTCGCTTGTTTTTGTTATTAATTTGAACTCACTCACTTTGTTTTTTACTCCATGTTTACAGTTAGTTGCTGAAGCTGCAGAGGATATTTGGGATCGCTATGGACATGACTTTGGGACCAATTATTCTGGACTTTTCAAAGCACTTTCTCATATTGATTACAATGTGCGGTTGGCTGCTGCAGAGGCATTAGCTGCTGCTTTGGATGAAAATCCAGATAGTATACAGGTTAGTGTGACAAAATTATGATTCTTCTTCTGTGTGCTGTTTTCTAATATTTTTTTTTTTTTTATTGATCTCCTCAGGAATCTCTTTCTACTTTATTTTCTTTATACATCCGTGATGCTGGCTTTGGTGAGGATACTGTTGATGCTGGTTGGCTGGGCAGACAAGGAATAGCACTGGCTTTACATTCTGCTGCTGATGTTCTAAGAACAAAAGACCTCCCTGTTGTTATGACATTCCTCATATCACGAGCATTGGTAAGATTTGCTTTGCCATTTCGCTTCAATTAAGTTGGCTTATTGTTAAGAAATAATTACTTCCCCAAATTATCACATCCATTTTTGGAGACTAGGTAGCTACAGTCATTTAATCAAAGTACTACTTAATATTACACTTATGCTTAAAGAGCTTTTCATTGCAGTTATTGTCTAACCCAGAAAACACTGCTGTTACCAATGGAGTACTGATCTGCTATGTTTCTTAGTAGATTAAGATTTCCATTATCTATCTATTCATTAATTAGAAGAAAGCTATATTATTTCTTCTTAAAGCATATTTTTGGTTGCATTTTTACCTCATATCAAGGAGAATAATCATTTTCATTTCATCATTTTGTTTGGTATGGACGATCCTGTATGCCTTGAAGTGTTTGTCATCTTAGCTATAAATTGGTCTGAATAAATCAGTGTTTCTGTTTTTCTTAACCCTTTTATGTAGGGTGACCTTAATGCTGATGTTCGAGGGTTTAACCCTTTTATGTTTTAGGGTGACCTTAATGCTGATGTTCGAGGGAGAATGATCAATGCTGGCATCATAATTATTGATAAGCATGGAAGAGACAATGTTTCCTTGTTGTTTCCAATCTTTGAGAACTACCTGAACAAGAAGGTCAGTCTTCATTTAAATCATAACGTGCTTGACCTTTTTTATTATGTTTCCATACGTCATGAATTCTATAGATGGATAGACTCTGATGTAATGATTAAAGATTATTTAACCTTTTATATTTGTCCCTCTCATATAATTTCTTGTGCTTAGGCATCAGATGAGGAAAAATATGATTTGGTTCGTGAAGGTGTTGTTATTTTTACCGGAGCCTTGGCAAAACACTTGGCTAAGGTCTGATTTTATGTGCCAGTGTTCCTTTCATAGCAAATTCATCAAGCTTTTTTTCTTGTTTGGTTTTAACATCTGTATTTTCTTGCAGGATGATCCGAAAGTCCATGCAGTGGTGGAGAAGTTGTTGGATGTTTTGAATACTCCATCAGAGGCTGTTCAGCGGGCAGTTTCGTTTTGCTTATCTCCACTAATGCAGTCAAAGAAAGTATGAAGCAATTTTTGCCTCAAATTAAAATCTAAGTCTCATATCAATGCATTTAGTTATTGTAATACATTGATGCTCGTGTCCTTTTCTAATTCTTCCATCTCCAAAAAAAATAAAATGAACTAGTGGCAGAATATTTCTGAATTTTCATGTTGTTATGTCTGGGTTTACAAGCTGCCCTAACATCTCTTTTTCTTGCATCAGGATGATGCACCTGCTCTTGTTTCTAGGTTATTGGATCAACTTATGAATAGTGACAAATATGGGGAACGCCGAGGAGCAGCTTTTGGACTTGCTGGAGTGGTCAAGGGATATGGAATATCTTGCTTGAAGAAGTATGGAATTGCTGCTGCAATAAGGGAAAGTCTTGCAGATAGGTATATTCACACTCTGGTTGGTTTTAGTTTTATTAAAATGGTATATTCGTCTGATTCTGGTCATTTTCTTTAATCATATTTGGCAATATTAGTAGTTCCTCTCAAGTTAAAAATTTTCTGATCCTTTTATTGTTTGTGGACATGAACAGTGATTGGTTGTCAAGAATAAATTTTTTTCCCAATAGGGTTCTTGTTCATTTAGTTGTCATGGTGTGGGTGGAGGGGATCCCTGTCTGCCAAGCCAAAGCCAAATAGCGCTTCTTACTGTAGTTATTCACCTTTGTATTTTTTAATTTTGGTCTTTGACGAGCTTGTGTTTCTTTCAAACTACAGGAGTTCAGCAAAACGTCGTGAAGGAGCCCAACTGGCTTTTGAGTGCTTTTGTGAAACACTTGGAAAACTGTTTGAACCGTATGTATAAATAATTGTAGCCTAAAACTGGAATGTTGTCTGTGCAGATTTCTTTGTATGATTAGTGCATCTATTTTTCCTGTTTTTATCCAGGTATGTGATTCAAATGTTGCCGTTACTTTTGGTTTCTTTCTCTGACCAAGTTGTAGCAGTTCGTGAAGCTGCTGAATGTGCTGCTCGTTCAATGATGTCTCAACTTAGTGCACAGGGGGTGAAGCTTGTGCTTCCATCAATTCTAAAGGTGCCTTTTGTGGATTTAATCGTTACATATTCAACATTTGTTTGGATTCTAAAGGTGCCTTTAATCGTTACATATTCAACATTTGTTTGATAAGATATAATAATTGAACTGGTCATATAGTTCTAAATCTTGAGGGACCATACTATGGATAGAGACTTGGTTTTTATTCTGTCATAGGGATAAATTTTCTGTATTAAAAGTTGATAATTTAACTCTAGTAATCATGTAATGATTTTTGTGTGGTCTCATTATACTGCCACCCTTATGCTTGATCAGTACGGATACTTCAGTTGGATAATAAAATTCTTTTATTTCACTGGATGGTGGACATTTATGATCTGTTAGCTGTGTTCTGAATTGAATCAAATAGCTTTTTATACTAGCTAGTTGACTAAGATAAATAAAGCAGATATTGACAAGCAGAGGTGAAAGCGAACTATGTTGCTTGCCATTATTGTGCTTGTGCCTTGTTTAGCTGTCTTTGATTTTTTTCTAAAGATAGCAATGAATGTGACAATGATGATGATTCTTATTAGTATTGTTATTTGTGTTGTTGACATAGTGTTTTGTATTATTATTATATTAGTATTGTTGACATAGTGTTTTGTATTATTATTATTTTTTCCCCATTTGTTTATTTGTCCTGATGTGTCTTGCTATTTGGATTATGTTGCAGTGCTTTCAGAGTGCTTAACTGATCAAATTGTTGCCTGTACATTTTTAAACTCAGGGTCTTGAGGATAAAGCCTGGCGGACAAAGCAAAGCAGTGTACAACTACTTGGTGCTATGGCATACTGCGCTCCTCAACAATTGTCTCAATGCCTTCCTACTATTGTGCCCAAACTCACAGAGGTTTATGATTGCATACACAAGCCTTGTTGCTTAGCCTTCTTTAAATAAACAAAAATTCATGACCTTGGAATTTTGTTTCCAAATTTAGGTTTTAACTGATACGCATCCCAAAGTCCAGTCAGCAGGACAAATGGCACTCCAGCAGGTTATATATATTGTGATTTATTGTTCACAGTATGCTCTTGATGCGTAGTGTTTCATGACTAACTCTTCATAATGTCATCCCAGGTCGGGAGTGTGATAAAGAATCCAGAAATATCTTCTCTTGTCCCTACGCTTCTCATGGGCCTAACAGACCCCAATGAGTACACAAAATATTCTCTTGATATTCTCCTCCAGGTAAGGTTTATGGATGAACATTTGTTTAGTTTATCAGTTTTATTTTAATCTGTTTCATGTCACTATATGCCTTTTGGTTTCTTGCAGACAACTTTCATTAATTCAATTGATGCCCCATCACTTGCACTATTGGTACCTATAGTTCATAGGGGTCTTAGGGAGAGGAGCGCTGAAACTAAAAAGAAAGCTGCACAAATAGTTGGAAACATGTGTTCATTAGTTACAGAACCGAAGGATATGATTCCTTACATAGGGTTGCTTCTTCCCGAAGTTAAAAAGGTACTGTTATCACTGGAGTTAAGTACATATTTTGTATACTGTTTGTCCTCTATGATTAAGTTTTGATTTTGAATAAGAACAGGTTCTTGTGGATCCAATTCCAGAAGTTCGGTCTGTGGCAGCAAGGGCCATTGGATCTCTTATACGAGGAATGGGCGAGGAAAACTTCCCTGATCTTGTTCCTTGGCTGTTTGACTCTCTTAAAACTGATAATAGTAATGTTGAGCGTTCTGGAGCTGCTCAAGGCTTGAGTGAGGTATTATTGGTTACAACTTTCTAGTTGACTACTGAACCACTTTTCATTTAATTAAGCAGCTCATTATGTACATAAGGTTTCTTCAAGTCTTCTGCAATTAATATGACAATAGCACAGCTATTATGTCTATTGTGTTTAGAAGAAGGCAATTAATCTGAAAATGAATACTTGTTATGATTATGAAGTGATACTTCCTGAAGAAAACACTAGTTTTCGGAATTTGCAGACTTCTTTTAATTGGGTGTACTTAAGTTAGGGGCTTTTGTTTATCTATCTCCAGGTTCTATCTGCACTTGGCACGGGATACTTTGAACATGTGCTGCCTGATATTATCCGAAACTGTTCTCATCAAAAGGCATCTGTGCGTGATGGATATTTAACACTTTTCAAGGTGAACTAATTTGCGTCAGCTAATATTCTCATAAAAAAATGTGTCAAATAAAGTTCCTTTTTCCCCTCAAACCACTTTGGATTTTGCTTATGACCCTTCTCTGATTATGTCCTTTTTATGCTAATTTATTTGCAGTATCTGCCAAGATCTTTAGGCGTTCAATTCCAGAATTATTTGCAGCAGGTGTTGCCTGCAATTTTAGATGGTAGGTTCAGTAATTTTGAAGGATATTTGTAGTTTTGGTCGCTTAGATTGTTCAATTCCTTTTTTAAATATAAATTTTCTTTGTGATTTTTTTTCCCAGTACTGGTAGTAGTAGTAGAACAACCCAGCTTATAATAAAGTGGCTGGTTTACTCCTACAGGTCTTGCGGATGAGAATGAATCTGTTCGTGATGCAGCGTTGGGTGCTGGCCATGTCCTGGTGGAGCACTATGCAACAACGTATGCATTCATAATCTTGCCATGTTTCCTTGTATTTTATTGGCGCTGGATTGAAATTTACTTTTGGTTCCTACATGTTTGGAACTGAAATTTCTTGAAGTTCTGACTGGGGCAAAAACATGTTGCCATTTCTTGGGCATTTTAAATTTTATTTCCAATAAACTTGAAATTATTCTGATTTCATGAAAGTTACATGCAGTCTGTGATAGCTGTCTATGTCTTAAGAATATTTTGCATATTCGTGTGATCTGTAATCTTTGTTGGATCTGTGCTATTTTATATTATTATGTCCCTTTTCATCCTTAGGTCCTTGCCTCTTCTCCTTCCTGCTGTTGAAGATGGTATTTTCAATGATAATTGGCGCATCCGGCAAAGCTCAGTGGAATTGTTAGGAGATCTCTTGTTTAAGGTTCATACTAGTTCACCTCTTTCCAGTTCTCCATTTTGCAAGTTCCTTTTGATATCCTTCTGAGATTGCCTTTTTTACATGTCCAGGTAGCTGGGACTTCTGGAAAAGCCTTACTTGAGGGGGGTAGTGATGATGAAGGTTCTAGTACTGAAGCACATGGACGTGCTATTATTGAGGTTTTAGGAAGAGATAAGCGTAATGAAATTCTTGCTGCATTATACATGGTCCGGACTGATGTCAGTTTATCTGTGCGTCAGGTAGTGGCACATTTTCAACTCTCGCTCTTGCATTTGCTTTTTATGTGTTTTATGCATGTATGTAGACTGAATGTTCCTGTCCCTCTGTTCAGGCTGCCTTACATGTATGGAAAACAATTGTGGCCAATACTCCGAAGACTCTTAAGGAAATAATGCCAGTTTTAATGAATACTTTAATTTCTTCTCTGGCATCGTTGTCTTCTGAAAGGCGGCAGGTCTGTGCTTCTTTTATTTTCAGATTGTAGTTTCCTGATTCCTTTTTTTTTTTCCAGTATTTATTTGGTAAAAAAATTGTTTTTATTTTGATTTTTAATGTAGGTTGCTGCACGAGCATTGGGTGAACTTGTTCGAAAGCTCGGTGAAAGAGTGCTTCCTTTGATCATCCCAATCCTATCCCAGGGGCTAAAGGATCCTAATGCTAGCAGAAGACAAGTAAAATTTTTATCTGTAGCTGCAGTAGTTTGTACACTTTCTCTCTTGAAACTCCCCTCCCCATCAATACTTTATAATAAACTAAACCCAACAGGCAGATACAAGGCTTCTTGTGCTTCTAACTTGCAGATGGATCTTGATCATGAAGTTTCAATCCATTAACCATATGCATGTAAACCATGCATGCACTGAAATCACCATGTGGTCTACCCCATCTCCTCATCTCTCAATATGATATGCAGACATTAATCAAGGAATTTTTTTTCTTTTTTCAAAGTTGATAGAAAACATTATTCAAGGATTTTGGTCACAAGAAAAATAGAAGAATTGATCAATCATAAGGAAATTACAAAGGTTACTTTTTGGTTATTTGTCATGTAATTCTTAGATGGCTTGGAATTACAGGGTGTATGCATTGGTCTGAGTGAAGTGATGGCAAGTGCTGTGAAGAGTCAATTATTGAGTTTTATGGATGAACTCATCCCTACAATCCGGACTGCCCTTTGTGATAGGTTAGTTCAGTATTTCTACTAGTAATTTTCTAAATCTCTCGAATGTATGATAAATTTTGACGTTAACATATGTTAACAGCATGCCTGAGGTGCGTGAGTCTGCAGGCTTAGCATTCAGCACTCTGTACAAGGTACATCATTTCTATCTTCTGGGTTTTGTTTTAAGTTCTCGTTTAGATATTAATTTATGAGGCTCCTAAATTGTCTCTTTATTCAGAGTGCTGGAATGCAAGCAATTGATGAAATTGTTCCAACACTGCTGCATGCTCTGGAGGATGATGAAACCTCTGATACGGCGCTTGATGGTCTCAAACAAATCTTAAGGTAAATGCCTTGTGCAGCTTATGTATTGAGAGTCAAGTCTTTTTGTGTATATTTTTCTACTTTTCTACTGTGAAATGTGGTTAATTTTTGTTCTTGTGAATTTCAGTGTCAGGACTACAGCTGTACTGCCTCATATTTTGCCCAAGCTGGTCCATCTTCCCCTTTCGTATGTGTAGCTTCCTTGAGTTGCTATAATTTTTGCAAACATGCACACAAACACACATTATGATTGCTCTTTTTCTAAGACTTTGAATATGTATCCAGTGCCTTCAATGCACATGCACTGGGAGCCTTAGCTGAGGTTGCAGGACCCGGTCTTAACTTTCACCTTGGTACTATTCTTCCTGCTTTACTTTCTGCAATGGGTGCTGAGGACAAGGTATGCAACTAATTTGAAGAAGCCATATTAAATTTCAACTCTTGTTTGCCTAGCTCTAAATATCAATCATCTTTTGACATTAGTGTATATCACCTTCATTTAAAATAAATCTTCAAAATGCTGTTTATCCTACTAGATTATCTAATGACTGGAGTTTGTAGGATGTTCAAACTCTGGCTAAGAAGGCTGCAGAAACAGTGGCCTTGGTCATAGATGAGGAAGGTGTTGAGTATCTGATAGCAGAACTTCTAAAAGGTGTTGGGGATACTCTGGTATGTAGCCCAGCTATCCTTGCCCTTCCATGCTCTCTCTCTCTTTCTCTCTCTACAATCACACACACACAAACATGTATGTATTTATCACTAATTTTGGTTCTGTATATTTATGGTGTCAGGCTTCGATCAGAAGAAGTTCATCATACCTGATAGGATTTTTCTTCAAATACAGCAAGTTATATTTGGTAGATGAAGCACCAAATATGATATCTACTCTGATCATTTTGCTGAGTGATTCAGATTCATCAACTGTTGAGGTATCTATCAAATGCATAATTCAGTCTTCTTTACTCTTCCATAAATTGTATCTAATGTTCTTTTCAATAGGTTGCTTGGGAAGCTTTATCAAGGGTTATTGGTTCTGTTCCTAAGGAGGTGCTTCCTTCATATATAAAATTAGTACGTGATGCTGTGTCCACGTCCAGAGATAAAGAGCGAAGGAAAAAGAAGGTTAGTGATCACTATTCTACAGTGTAGACAATTGGGTATGCATTATGATACTGTTAACAGAATGCACAGAAACTTTTAACTTTTTTGTCTGATTTGTGGAAGGATGACTCATCTGGGTATTTATGTCCATTTCAATATTTTTGCAGGGAGGACCAGTTGTCATTCCAGGTTTCTGTCTCCCAAAAGCTCTTCAGCCATTGCTTCCGATATTTCTTCAAGTATGGATGCTTATATTCTTACTGTCATAATGTTGTCCTTCTCATGCTTTTCTTTTGTTATCCATAGTTGTCAGAATATTGTTATTTTCCTTCTTTTTTTTCTTTTTGTTTGACATCATCCTTGTATGCAGCATGTATTTTAGATTTGGTTTGTTAAATTCTACGATTCACTTTTATTTTTGAGAAATCTTCAAGAAAGATTAGAAAACTTGATTTGAGATTCCCACTTTTCTTTTTTCCCATGCACTCTGTTTATCTGTAGTTAAATTGGCCATGGTAACAATTTCTTCTTGTGAGCTTGGGAAGGCCTTTTTTTTCCTCAACCAGCCATTTAGATGCTATGTGTCTGCAATGCTTGCTGATTTACTAGCAATTAATGATATGGTTTCGGAAGTGTATTGTTACTGCCTCACTTCTTCCATTGGGTGGTTTATTACTAGTGTCAGTTTTCCTGTTTTCATGAAAGTTGTTTTTATCCTGTTATATATATACATGTGTGTGTGTGTGTGTGTGTCTTGTGATCCTGTCAGTTAAACACGTTTGGTTGTCTAGTTGACTACTGGGTTAGAAAAAGTACTGATCATAGTTATTTGTGCCTCTTGTCTCATTTCTGGTGATTCTCTGACATCTTATGACATTTTAGGGTCTGACAAGTGGCTCTGCTGAATTAAGAGAGCAGGCAGCACTGGGTCTTGGGGAGCTTATTGAAGTGACTAGTGAAAAAGCATTGAAGGATTTTGTCATTCCAATCACTGGGTATGGACCATATACATTTTACGAAATCTAGTTTATACTAAATGTTAATATATCTGAAAATTGTTAGTATAAGTTTTGACTTCTAGAATTAATGTACCATAAAGTACTGTGGTGGTTAACAATGTGTCATCCGTCTTTGGGAAATATTGCTTTTGTGAATTATAATTTTGTGGCTTCTATAAATCGACTGATTATGTGTGTAGTTAGGTTTGAGTGATATGTAATATCAACACATCTTGTCATTGGATTGCTGCTTCTACAACACCAGATTTGGATCATTTTTTTTTATTTCTTTTTCATGGATGGGAAATTCCTGATTTTTTTTCTCAGCAAGGATAATTTAACTGTTAAATCACATTTTTGCTAGTTTCACGCAATCAATTTATTCTTTTAGCAAGAATGTGCCCCTAAAATCATGGTCTTGTACATATATGGCATGTCTTCAATCTCTTTGAGCTCACCTTGTACATATTTCAGATTATGTGTATCATTTATCTGTGGGTGCTGTTAGTTTAATGGTCTGCACAAAGAAATGGGTATTGAATATGTGGCATGTCTTCAATCTCTTTGAGCTCACCTGTACATATATGGCATGTCTTCAATCTCTTTGAGCTCACCTTGTACATATTTCAGATTATGTGTATCATTTATCTGTAGGTGCTGTTAGTTTAATGGTCTTCATTAAACTGGATGCTTGTGGTTAGAGCTCATAATGACCACATAAATTTTGAATTTCCTTTTTGCTCCCTTTTTTAATGTTCCTAAGTGCTTGGGGTGCTTATTGCTTTATGATGCCTTGATTTTAATAGTTTTTAATAGTTCTCTTATTAATAAAAAGATTATTTTCCCATTAGCTGAAGTTTCCTAGGTGTGTACCTACTATAATGATGTATTTGTTTTATAATTACAGGCCTCTCATCCGGATCATAGGCGACCGGTTTCCTTGGCAGGTGAAGAGTGCCATCTTGTCTACATTGAGCATCTTAATACGGAAGGGTGGGATGTCCCTGAGGCCTTTTCTTCCTCAGCTTCAAACAACATTTATCAAGTGCTTACAAGATAGTACAAGGTTTGTTTGTACATTAAAAGCTCATTTGTCAAACTATTGTTGAATTGTTTCATAAATTATTTGTGGGTCTATTGGAAAAAATTTTCCTTTCACACACACACATATATCCTTTACGCATGTCTTCTTAATTTGGCTTATTTATGGTTTGTGAGTTCCTATTTCCTGCTTATGAGATCTTGAGTGAAATGCAGGACTGTTCGTACAAGTGCTGCTTTTGCTCTTGGAAAGCTTAGTGCACTCAGTACAAGAGTTGATCCTCTAGTCAGTGACCTCCTGTCCAGCTTGCAGGTTTGGTAGTCGTTATGTATTTATTTTTTTTCCCTTCACTGATCTTTGTTATGATCATGAAATCACTTTCATTTTGTTGCTCAGGCATCAGATGCTGGTGTTCGGGAGGCAATTCTCACAGCTTTAAAAGGTGTCCTTAAGCATGCTGGGAAAAGTGTGAGCGATCCTGTCAGAGTTCGTGTTTTCAGTCAACTCAAGGATTTAATTCATCATGATGATGACCAAGTCCGAATATCTGCTGCCAGCATATTGGGTATCACTTCACAGGTGGGTTTAGGTATTCTGACTTCTGAGTATCGTGGTTTTGCAAATATATGTTTTCATTTTAACTGATAGAAGTGTTGAATCTCTTGACATATTTGAAACTCTGGCTTAGACCTGATGTTTGTTTTATTTGAATAGTGAATTACCATTTACACCTCCCAAGCCTGACACTACTAGGCTTGCTGTCGGGGACAGTGCCTAGGGATCTTAAAATAAGCCACAGCATTCTAGTGTTGTAGCTATTCAGGTTTGGGCCTGTCAGTGTGCTGCAGTCAAGGAGTAGAAAAGATCGAAAACAGAATACTAAGGCAGTTGGTTTTCAATTACAAAATGCTGTAAAATTGCATGATAAACATGATAGATGGTATTTTAAAGTTGTTAGCTCTAAAGTGACCATATCACTCCTGCCATAGTTTTCATATCAACAAGAAGTTACTAGAATTAGGATATAGTAGCGGTGCAACATGCTGGCTGTTCTCTGGACTCAAGATAGTTTTTCTAAATAAACCTGTGGTAAGAAGCTGAAGTTGTATCTGGGCAGAACACCATGTTGTTTGCACCTTTCTTTGCTCTTGATGGACCTTCCTTGTTTCTTGCTACCAACCTCTTCCATTAAAATTTGCAATTTCTTCTACGTTTTCTCATAATTTCAAATGACATTGCAGTACATGGAAGAGCCTCAGCTGGATGATCTGCTTGAACTACTCTCAAATTTGGCATCTTCTCCTAGCTGGGTGTCCAGGCACGGCTCAGTACTCGCCATATCATCCTTGCTTAGGCACAATCCTTCCTCTGTTGTTACATCCCAAATGTTTCCATCTATCATGCAATGCCTTAAAGATGCCCTGAAAGATGAGAAGGTATTGCAGTTCTAACAGTTGTAATTTTATGTGTTTGTATTGTACCAGTTACTGAATATGCTCTTCTGCAAATTAGTTTCCTCTTCGTGAAACTTCAACGAAGGCATTGGGAAGGCTTATACTTCATCAGATTCTGAGTGATCCTTCTGAAGCCACTGCACATGTTGATATCATTTTGACAATAGTGTCTGCTTTGCACGATGACTCCAGTGAAGTCAGAAGGAGAGGTTTATCTGCTTTAAAAGCTGTTGCAAAAGTATGCCCTCATGTGTTTCTACTCTAATAAGGAATCCATGAACATTTAATTTCAGGAACTTTAATGAGGCGTTTATTTTTCAGGCAAGTCCTCCATCAATTACGGTCCATGTTTCCATTATTGGCCCTGCACTTGCAGAATGTTTGAAGGACAGTAGTACTCCGGTGAGGCTAGCCGCGGAAAGATGTGCTGTGCATGCATTCCAGATGACAAAAGGTATTTCCTTCATATATTGATTCAATATCAGTTTTCTGTTGATTATGTGTCTTTTAATTGTCAAGTGAGATTAAAATTGATCCTTCTATCTTTTATCTTTCATTGACTGGTTTTTGGTCTTCTAATTCTTTTGCATTGTTTAATGTGAATCGGGAAAACTAAGAGATTTCCTTAATGCTTTGGATTTATTTTTTTCAGGTGTTTCCTTGCTTAATGCTTTGGATTTATTTTTTTCAGGTACAGACAATGTTCAAGCTGCTCAAAAATTTATTACGGGCTTGGATGCTAGGCGACTTTCAAAGTACCCTGAATATAGGTAATCTGGTTGAACATTCAGTTTTCTTCTGGGATTTAACTCCTTTGGAACTTCATGTTTGTGCTGGCTATAATTTAGAAGGATTAAAAAAACTTCAATTTCATCCACTTTGTCATACCTTGCTATAAACCATCATATTCTGTTCATTGGTATATTTATGAATACCAAGCACACAGTTCCACTCTTTACTTGTAGATATTGCTTGCATTTATGTATGCACAGAATTATACTTTTCATGTTTGTATACATGAAATGACATTCTTATATGATGTATCTGATTGAATATAGCTCTATAAGGAAACAAAAACAGATTTTGTTCTGAAGCACATAAAGAGAATGAATACTGATGAAGAAATTATAATGACACAAACTATGGGACCTGGAATAAAATGATTGGATAGCAGCCAAACCCAAATGCTCAATGGGGAGTATCTGCCATTGGACTTCGATGGACATGATCCTTTAAATCTCAACTTTGCAAATAATACCAGCATATATGTTTAAAAATTATGGATACAAAGTCAATTGGGAAAGACTCGGTGATGTTTGTAGGATATGTTAGTACAACTCATGCACAGATACCTCACATATCATAATTAACAATTCACAATTCACATTCTATGGCATTCTATGTGAACCATGCAATGATACATGTTCTTGGAACACCTTTTTTGTTTCTATTGCAGGGATGCAGTAATGCCTAGGATGGCTCATACTTGCTTATAAATACATGCATTTGATGATTTATATACCCAGTGTGTTGTGTATGTTGGTTATTTATACATATAGTTGTTTTCTGAATGTATATTTCTGGTGGTTGTGGACTTGCAGTGATGAGAGCGAAGACAGTGAAGAAGAATCAACAAGTGGCTAATAGCTGATTTGCATATCCCTATTATTTTTGTGTTCTTCAAGAGAGGTACGCAAAAACCTTCAGGAATTTTGGTCAAATGCTATGTGTGGCGACTCTTGTTCATAGGAGTACATAGTCATATTTAATCATACGAAGATGATAAAAGGCTCAACCCCATCAGTTTTGGACGTGGATTGCATGTAGATATAGCGGTGGATTTTAGCTCTTGTTTTTTGTAAACCCTTGCAATTGCTGAGGAATAGAAAAAGCCGCTCGACACAATCCCCTTTTTGTTGTAATTTATGTCAGTGCTACTCTTAGTTATCTGTATGAACAATTTTGCTCCTTGCCTGCCCAGATTGCTAAACGGATAAAAGGCTTCTCTTTCCGAAGGCCAGTGCTTGATGTTTCCTAAATTAAAATAATCTGCATTCCTATCACAAAGCATCATGTTCTATGCTTTTTTGAATTTCATATTTTTTTATGATTTGTTTTGTTTTTATGGTAAGTCAAGTAAAAATATTCCTTGTGAGATTATATCGAGTGTTTTCGACAGTTAAAAAACACCCTTTAAGGTTCCTTGTTCTATCTCCAAGAGGTCAATCTGCTCTAGTTCTATCCAGTTCGAGTAAATGGAGTGTCACTTGGGTCATTGAAGTATATTGCATGTTATTTCAGTCTTGCGTCCTTCGTATTTTTTCCCTTCCCTAGAAAGGGGTGTTTGGGAGTGGTAGTGGTTATATCTTAAATTAATTTTTTCTCAAAAATTTATTAAAATAATTTTTTTATTTTTAAAAAATTATTTTTAAAATTCAAATATTTTGGAAGTGCAACGCACAAATAGGTTATTGGATTGGTGCACGCTAAGCTCCTGCCTTCGTCCCTTGCTTTAGGTGTCAACTTTTTCCCATCTCGAATAAGATGGAGAAAGCCATTATAAAAATACCCAAGCCAGCAACCTAAGGAATGGACTGCACAGTTTGGTTGTACCCAAGCTTTAGGTGTTCGTGTTTGTGATTTTGCCTGAATTAATTGAAGGATATACTGGGTTGAATTGTGAAAGTTCTCACGTGGGTCTAGGGAGAGTGCCCGAGGAAGGCTATATATTTATAGGGGTTTTGAATCCTAGCACAAATAGATGCTTCACAGAGCAAGCAACAGAACTCCGGCGAGGCTTGAGACTTGAGTTGGGAAGGATTAATGTGGGTTAATTTATATTTAAAAAAATTAAAATAATATTGTTTGGGCAAAAAGTTTCAGATAAACCTTGTGGCTCCTGGTTTTGTAACTATGAGAAGGAAGATTGTGTATTTGGAAAATACTTCTGGTTATTTTTTAAAGTGTGTTTTATTTTAAAATATATTAAAATAATATTTTTTATTTTTTATAAATTAATTTTTTATATTAACACATCAATCTGAAAATATAAAAATTATTAATTTAAAATAAAAATAAAAAAAATTTAAATTATCCCTTCTTATTTCATTCGGCTTCCCTGCCTGCATTGGTGTCGCTCAATTACGAGTTACGAACTCCTAGGTGAGGTCAACTCGTGACATTTTTTTTTTTTTGGTCTCATTTATGAAAATTGATATGTCCATACCTAATATGTCCATCATCGAATAGACTGCTATTGATTTCTTCAATTTTAATTGATATATAATTTTTAGAATATAAATGATTTAATTAAGCTAGTTTATTTTTTGTATTTTATTATATTGCATCAAGTTAACAACAAAAATAATTTAAGCAAGCAACCTGCTAGTTATTAAATAGGACGAGATTGTAAGAGTCGTATTTCTTAAATTTTGTCTGGTCCGAAATGCTAGCTATAAGAATCACAAAATATACCTATGAACTAATTAAGTTATAGCCAGATATAAATCATTGTAGTTGAGCACTAATCAGGTTAGTTCCTAGTATTTTCTTACATCATGGTTGACTGTTGATGAGTATATGTCATCTCAACTTGGGGATGTTTACACCTAAAAATGGCCTTTGCGAATTCATTAATATTTACATGTTGATCTCCCTCCCTCTCTCTCTCTTAAAATAAAATAAAAAATGAAGTGGTATTTGAATTGAGCTGCTTAATTAATTATGATTGTGCCCATCACCTCGTTTGTGGGATCTTGTAGTAGAAATATTAAATCTATTTCTTGATGTTGTCCCATTGCTATATATATATATATATGCAAGAATCAAAATTAATGCACTGTCTACTTTGTCTTTATATTTTTATTATTGAGAATAATATAAAATTATTTTTAAAGTATCATTTAACAATTTAAATTTTTAAATTGTCATTGTTTTTTATGTGGTCAAAATCTAAATAATTAAACAATTACAAGCTGGAATCTTATTTTTATTATTCTATCCAATTAAATAAAAAAAATATTAAGTATAAGATGGTGATCGTGCAATTTTAAGCTAAAAAAATTCAATTGTAGTAGAAAATAATATAAAACCAATCACAAAACCTTCTTTTTATTTTTATTTTTGAGTTTATAAATTCATCAAGCAAGCAAAATGATGACATATCTTTCTAGGAGTGATTGACTTTGCCCTTTCGTAAATCCACTTAATTTTTTTCTTTAATGGTGTGCCTACGTCAAGAGTCAGGATTAATAACAAGTATTTATTTATTAGAATCATACAGGAATTTAAGACATTTCCACCATTTAATAATCTGGGTCAAACATCAAAGTTCTATATGGGATCGAGCCATAGAAGTATTTGAGATTCGAGAATAGAAACTAACAAATTTTAATTTAATCCTCGATTTAATATTTTCTTGTTCTTAATTTATCATCCTCATCCCGTAGTTAATTAAAGTCTGTTCTCTCGTAATCATTTATTTCTAAAATACATAATCAGGGATTATCACAAAATTCACCTATACTAATTTATCACAAAATTTCATTAAGATTATTATATCTTTTGAATGTATTAAAATAGTGCCATATCTTATATTAAGATTATTATATCTTTTGAATGTATTAAAATAGTCAAAATAAACGTGAAATCAAAGGGATTGCGGAAGAAGATACAAATTCAAGTTATTTTTCTCTCTATATATATATATATAGTTGGTAAATCTGAGTGTATGTTTAGAGGGTAACGTATCCTATTCACATTGGGATCATATACCTACAGATTAGGTGAAGAAATATGAAATATACAAGCCATGTGGCAACACCAAAGCATAGAGAACATAGCAATTGAGTGCTACTTGGAGTTTAAAAAGGGATAGGACTAAGGAAAGGAGAAGACCGGGAAGGAAAGAAAGCTATGGCTATGAAACTCTTAAAGTGAAAACATTAATGACAAAGTTATATGGTGGCAGATGAAGCACATTCAAGTAGCGCAATAAAAAGGAGCCTGCATATATTGTTGGGTAGGTCTCGGTTTTTATAGTGCTTTCAAGTCGTTGTTTCTTCTCTGTCTTTGTCCTCGATCGGTGCAGCTCCATAGGAACAAAACGAAAGATTTAACACTAACATATATGTATTACTCTTCTTTCTGAATTTGTATCTGAATTCAATGTAAGCAATGATGAACTTGATAGTGAATTTTTAAGACAGGGAGCAGGCCTCTACATATGCAGGTTAATTAACCATCTCCACCAACCTTCCTTCTCGCCATAAAGACCCCAGAAAGAGAGAGAGAGTCATTTTCCATTACCTGTTCTGGTTTCCGTGTGGGTTTGGTGCAAGTGATTAGATTAATTTGTTACTAAACTACTATTATTTTTGTTTTTTCGAGTAATGGTCTGTTAGTCCCCCTCAGTCTCCTTCTGTGTTTCTTTCTTGGCACTGAAAGAAACATGGGTTTTGTGGTGAATAAGAGAGGGTTTCTAGCTCCTCTTCCTCCTCTTGTTCTAGCTCTTATCTTTGTCCAAAGTTTTACTGTTGGTGTGTCAGCCCTAAATTACACAAATTATAGACAAATCAGTGGCATGAGACTTGAAAGGATTCAGAGGCACTTGGACAAGATTAACAAGCCTCCAGTCATGACCATAGAGGTATATATTACATACCTATCTTCTTAAATATTTTACACCAAATTTTTGTTTCTTTGTTCATGTTTTGATTTCATATCGTGTGGGATTAATTAGTTTCTTGTTTTGACATTTTCCTTTGATCTTTACAGAGCCCAGATGGAGATATCATAGACTGTGTTCATAAAAGAAAACAGCCTGCTTTAGATCACCCTCTTTTAAAGAATCACAAGATCCAGGTAAATAACCTGAAAAAACACCTCCTCCCCTCTTCTTGTTTTACCACTATCTTTCAACATTCATCTAGGTTAACTTCCTTTTTGACAATAAACACTACCATATTATAACTTTTTTACGTGTAAAATAAGGTTATGAAGCTCCCCAGTGCTCCTAAATCTTGTGTATGAAGAAGGACTTTCTTGGCTCCATGTATTTTGTCTTCTTCTTTTTCTCTTAAAAAACTCACTATATATTCAATTACTATATATAAAGCTTAAAGGTAAAGCTAAATCTTCTTTTCTCTCTCTCATTCGTTAGATAACATGTAGTAATGTTAACTTTGATTAATGCTAGTAATTATGATGATTATGTCATGTAATTAACAGAGAGAGCCCCCAGAAATGCCTAGAGTGAAAGCGTTGAAAGAGGATGATGAGTTGAGATCAGAAAGAACAAAGAAGAGCAATGAAGCAGAAGGCGTGAGAGGTTCATGGCAAATGTGGCACCGGAATGGGACAAGGTGCCCGCAGGGCACTGTTCCTATTCGTCGGAGCACAGTTCATGATGTGCTGAGAGCCAAGTCTTTGTTTGATTTTGGCAAGAAACAACGAAGATCAATCTCTCTTGCTAGACACATGGATGCACCTGATGTAGTTAGTGGCAATGGACATGAGGTATCCTATCTTCTCCCACCCTTTGAGAAGAGTGCAATTTTGATTTTCATAGCATCAATATATATATATATGGATTATTTTCATATATAGTTATTTCAAAATAATTATGTGCAAGTACATTAAAAAAAATTTCGATTTTCACTACTCATGGATCATATGGTGTGGTGCCTTTAATTAGTTCAGACTTTCTCTTGCACAAAGACAATAAAATTATGCTATTTTGGCTTGAAATATTAATGATGCATTACATTTATACACCTTCATATTTAATGTTTCATTGATAAGAGCTTAATATTTTTTATTTTTCTTTTTTGAATTATGAGATTTCAAAGAACAAATTGCTTCCTAATTATGTAAAATGAGTATGAAAAAATTTTATGATATAACTAAAAATATCTTATTAATAACAGCGTTTAAAAAGACTAATACAAGAAAGTTCATAATTCTTCAAAAACAATAAGAATATTTTTATTTAAAATTTATCTCATCTCTTTACATCATTTTATTTTTTAAAGTGAATATTAGAAAATAATTAATAGCTAATAGGCATGATACTATTATTTTAATCACCATAAAATTTCTTTTCTTTGATATGAGGAGTACTGATGTTGTTTCTACACAATTAAATTAGCAATTATCAAATATTGATTGTTGACATGTTTATAAAGAGAGTTGCGATTGTGCTATAGTCATACAACAATGTTGTATATTTGACATGGGATAATTTCTAGCTCAATTAAATAATAATAATAATTATAAATATTATTTTCAATATTTACAAAGAAAAAGATAACAACTTTCTAGCTCCTACTATAATTATTATTAAAATATAAAATTCACAGTACTTTGAGTTTTGGTATTTTTTTTATTATTATATAAAAAAATTTGTCATGCCACAAAAATGGATCCTAATTTTTTAATACACATAAATTTTATATTTGGTTAGTGTTTCCGGATTAAAAGAATAGATATAAAAATAAAAATATAAAATAAATTTAGTTATATATAATTTTAGAGTTGATTTTTAGATTCTTAAGATATAAAATATAAGATAATTTTCCCCATATCATTTACCTTTAATTTCGTGTTGTATTCATTTTCTACCCTTTGATCAATCTCCTTCTCTGGTTCATAGCATGCAATTGCCTACACTGGATCATCACAAGAGGTGTATGGAGCCAAGGCAACCATTAACGTGTGGGGTCCAACAATCCAAGTGGCCAATGAGTTCAGTCTATCACAGATCTGGATTCTCTCGGGATCGTTCGACGGTTCTGATCTCAACAGCATAGAAGCTGGATGGCAGGTATCTCCTGTGCACACTATTTCAATTATAATTAATTACTATATTTTCTATGGATTAATAAATGGTTTATATATACTAATTATATGTTTAATTAATGGGATTTTCTGAAGTAATGATTTTATTCTACTAGTCAGGTCAGTCCGGAGCTTTATGGTGACAGCAGGCCCAGATTGTTTACTTATTGGACGGTAAGATCTCTGATCATATTTAATTCTCAATTACTAATTAATTCTAATTTATATTTATGTTTATTTAGCAAAACAAAGAGAGACGAAAGGAAAATTACTAAAAAATATAATACAAAGGTAGGGTGGAATTTGTAGTGGCTTGTGAGGCTACACAATATTTATTTTGTTTTAATGGAAATTGTGAGGGATAAAAAATAAAAAATTAATAAAAATTTTATTGTTAATTTCATTGAGATTTAACATAATAAAAATTAGAAATAATTATTTTTAGTTTAATTTACTTTTTATAAAAAAAAATCAAACTAATTTTTTTAAAAAAACAAAACTGAACCAAAACCAGTTCAAATCAACCAGTTTTTATTCGGTTTGATTCTGTTTTTAAAAAAAATGATTTAAATAAGTTTAGTTTGGATTTTTAGGTTTGGCACGGTTTTTTTGGTTTTAGCTTAGTTTGACTTGGTTTGGCTTGATTTTTTTTATTTTAGCTTCATTTTTCTGGTTTTGCTTGGTTTTTAATTGGTTTTTTTAATTTGACTTGGTTTTTTCTGTTTTGGTTAGTTTGATTTTTCAGTTTTAAACTTATAAAATTGAAACCGAACTGGTCAATTTTTTTAATTTTAATCAATTTAATCAGTATTTTTTACAGTTTATTTTTCTAATTATTTTTTTACTTATTTTCTCAGTTTGATTGGTTTTTAGTTTCCTCCCCTTTAATAAAAATTTCATTGATAAATTCAAATAAATGAAAACTGGACAATTCTCTCTTCTCCTGTTCTTCCTTTCTTTTTGTAAACCAAAAAAAAAAAAAACCCGGACAATTAACATTTCTGTCTTCCAAGCTCTAGTGGAAGATATTTTTCCAATCTGATAGGTTTGGGAAAGAAAGAACCCTAGAATGACAGTCATTATTTTAAATTTGTATCTTGCAGAGCGATTCATATCAAGCAACAGGGTGCTACAACCTTCTTTGTGCAGGATTTGTGCAAACCCATAACAGAATAGCCATTGGAGCTGCCATTTCTCCTGTATCATCATACACAGGCAACCAATATGATATCAGCATCCTCGTTTGGAAGGTACGAGCATATTAGTTCTTGCTTCGTAATTGATTAATAATATTTTAAAAAACAATATTAAGAAAAATATTAAAAATATAGATAATATTTTAAGTATTTTGGATTAACCGTATATCAAATTCAAGAAACTTGAATCTAAGATAGTTGGGTCTGGTGGTGCCACATCTAAATCTATTGAATTTGATATTTATGACAGAACCTAAAATATTGAGATTGACATTGTTGTTAGACCAAAAAACCTTAGATAGTGTTTGTTGTAATAAAAGCCTCATATATTTCCTTAAATTTCATGTTAAGAAATAACAGAATCTGATAACAACCCATCCAACTAAACCAATATGTAGTTTAATTAGCTGATAATAATGCTTCTTTTCGTCTTTCTCGTAAGATAACTAGAGAGTTTGACCCGCTCATTTATGTAACTTAATATTTAGAACTTATTGCCTTTAAATTTCTTGCACATTCTACTTATTGCAAAAACTTATTTGTCTAATTAGCTTCTTTTTCTTTATTGTTTTAACTCTTTTTTTTTTTTTTTGGAATTAGGATCCAAAGCTAGGTAATTGGTGGATGAGTTTTGGTGACAACACCCTAGTAGGATACTGGCCAGCTGAGCTATTTACACACCTAGCAAAGCATGCCACCATGGTGGAGTGGGGCGGCGAGGTGGTGAACTCAAGGGCCAACGGCAAGCACACATCGACACACATGGGGTCGGGCCATTTCGCAGAGGATGGGTTCGGAAAAGCAAGCTATTTTCGGAACCTAGAGATTGTAGACTCTGATAACAGCCTCAGTTCAGCCCGAAGTATCTCAACCCTAGCTGAAAACACCAATTGTTACAACATCCAAAGCTCCTACAGCAATGAATGGGGCACACACTTCTATTATGGTGGCCCTGGGAACAATCCACGGTGCCCATGATTATGCTCTTCTTCGTCATCGTCAAGAATTGAAGATATAATTTCTAGGTCCACGTAAATCTCGAGTTCTGTCAAATTCTTTAAATATGTAATTATGTTCATGCTATTTCCATTCTTGTTTCTGCCATGTTTCCCAAGTTTTTGGATGTATTGTTATGAGGAAGGAACGTGTTGGTTCGTAAAATGGGAAAAGTGACATAGCATAAACAGGCATGGAAATAGCTGTATTTTAGCCAGGTATCTCTTATGCCAATTTTTATTTGATTGTATGAAAATCAACCTTATAATCATTTTCTTGGGTTAAAAAATTGCTAGAGGTATATTTTTATTATAAATTGTTCAAGTATTTTTGTTTGGAAATATATTGAAATAATATTTTTTTATTTTTTTAAATTTATTTTTAATATAAATGCATAAAAACAACCCAGAAACAACAAAACAAAAATTTGAAACAAAAAATTAATAAAAGATCAACATTTTTTAAAAAACTTTTAAAATACAAAAACACACTCTCCATGTTTAGAATTTCTAGTCACCGGTGAGAAAATTTTAGATAAGGAAACTAGAACGGGAGAACAAAGACATCGTTGTCACAAAATCCAAGAAGCCAAAGCTAGTTTTTGACGAGCATGTTCAGATTTCATTAGAATTTATGACAAAGCTGAGACTAGAAGTGGGTAAACGCAACTTATTCCCTCCAACGAAAAATTCTAGTACAACACCACAGACAAAACAGCCAAGAGTACTCTGGAATCAAACATATGATACATAGCAACAACCTGGATTATTTTACCAATGGTATCCAAGGTTCAACCCAAAAATGATAGATTGGCAGGCTTGGCATAAAAGCTCCGGTGAATTATAAACATAACCAAAGAAAAATTAGATTTGACCCAGTATGACTTCGCCGCCGGAAACCTTGAAGTCGGATGGAGCTTCCTCTACATTAAGAACCTTCACCTTTCCATCTTCCACATAAGCAGACCATCTACACAAAGTACACAAGAGTCAAATGTCTAATGAAAATATATCCATGATCGACACACGGATCAGTAGAGTCTTGGGTGCATGAAAGTAAATAACCAATATGAACTACGAATTGCATTTTAACTGCCACCTTACAGATAATAACAAATACATGGATGTTTCTTTAGGATTAATTGGCTCAAAGCCCACTCAGCAAAAAGAAAAACAGGGAAATCAAATGAGATCCCTAGATCAGATAATTCAGAATGCTGGGAAACGCATGTTAGAACACCAAGAACAGACATGGCAGCATCATACCTTTCAGAGCGATGCCCTAGCAAAGCAACAGAGAGATCTTTATTTAATTCCAAGCTCTTGTGAAGGCTCCCATCAAAGTCTCCGTAAAATTCAATCTAAAATAGAAAAAGGCTAGTTAAAAGGGAAATAAAGTGAAGAAGATACTGCTTATTGGCACAGTTAACTACCCTAACAAGATGACATTGTTCCTGCAGAGAGGATAAAACTTCTACAGTATGGAAATAATAACAGCACCGATGCTTCTTGGGATTAAGTGGCCGGAAAATTAACTCCACTTGCAGACATCTTATGAAGCAGCAAACAGTACATGGTTTAGTGATGTCACATAAATGCACAACTGGGGAATAAAGCCATTAAGGTCATGTCTACTTTGGAGAATTATCTAGTTTTCTAGGAAATTTCCTAGAATATAGAAAACTGTAAAGATTCAACCATAAAGTTTAACTGAAATTGAGACATTACAAAATAGGAGACAAGCAAAATCAAAACAAATAGAAAAGGTTTTCAGATCACATGTAAGAAAAGAGAAAGGAATGTATATGATTCACAATAATCACTTACAGCATCTTTAGCTTGAAGTTTCTCTGCCCAAGCATTCATAGTATATGGATCGTTAACAGCCACACAAATGACAGAATCAATCCCTTTAGCCTTGAACTTATCAATTATATTTTTGTAACTAGGCACATGCTGCTGTGAACAAACCCCTGTGTACGCTCCCTGGACATGGTAAACGCAATACATGAAAATAGTTTTCTATCAACAAAATTAAGTCACAAAATAAAAAGAATCATGTTTTAGCTATTTAGGTCATTCTTTATCAAATCTTTTGACTTGAGAATCTTATTCCCAAAACAAATTAATATCGCTTTCACACTTTCTTGAATAAAAAACCACCCTCTTCTCCTCTTCCCCATTGTCATCCACACCAGTGTTTGCGTTGAAACAACAATCATTTCGGCTTCCAACTTCATGTCCATCATACCAAAAGGAAAAGTGCAATAAGAGGATTAATTGTCTTTAGTGCTGTCCGTTGACTTGTTTGTGATGCATAGCATGGGGTTAACTTAAATGGTTAATTTCACAAGCTTGACATCTACTTGAAGCTATTTATAATTTTTTCCTGATTAGAAACCAAGTTTTTAAGTCAGGTTCATAGGAGAAAAGGACCCTTACAAGTGAGGTTTGTTTCACCTATTTGTCTAGTACAATCCAGATTTCTCTTGGCTTATATATATATATATAAAGAACTTCACAAATTAACTATATTTTGGATTGCATTTGACTTTGTGCTCGCATGGGCTTTCCTTGTTCCAATAGAGACAACGGAGAAGAAACAAAAAGAGAGAGTAAGAATATAACAGCACTCATTTTGATATACAATGTCATGTAGAGACCAATTACAACACTCATGAGTATCACTAATGAAATAATCTCTGCATAACAGGAGATAAGGATGAATTTTCCAAATAACCTTGTTAATTTAACATCATGGATAGCACAAATGCAGCCACTGAACATTATGCTAACCTTGAATCACTAACTGCAGCCGAGCAATAATTGTCTCCTTTTTTTATGCCAGTCACTTGCAAAGTTCAAGACATTTTAAATATTTAATCACAACACTACTAGCGTCTGGCCTAATCGTAGTGAGCTCCCTGTACTTGCAAGGAGGTTACAGATTCGAATCCTGACTAAGAGTATTTGAGCTTAAAATATGCCCCATTACAAGAGAATGGCAGATTAAACCTTCATCTTTTATCCCTAGACTGCTTAACCACTGATTATGGGCTGTAGGGTCCTACCAATAGCCAAAAAAAAAAAAAGGAGACCTAATTGCCAACAATCAATTAAAATTATACCCAAAAAAAATTCAATTTCCACCAAATATGTAATAAAAGAAGCAGGAAAATATGAATTAAAATGCAGAAGATACTTACTGGGAGGCCGAAGATGACAACCTTTTTGCCCTGAAAATATGAAATTAAAGAAAACAAATCACAATTAATTAAAACATTAAGAAATTGGTATTTTACGTATTTAATTTCTCAATTAATTAGCCAACCTTGAAAATGTCTTTTAATGGAGTTGTTGAGAATTTTGAAGAAACACCTTCGTCCCAGGTCCGGGATTTTTGGAGGGAAACGCCGGGTGCAGCGGAGACTATGTCAGTCCCGACTGCAACCTTAGCGTAGGATCTCCAAGATCCTCCGATGATTCCGAGACTATCAGCCATTGACTTGAGGAGGCAAGAAGGGCTTGTTCGCTTGAGGATTGCAGATGCCATGGCTTTACTACGCTTTACTCGATTGTGTTTCACTCTTGTTTGTTTGCTGTTGTTTACGCAAGTTTAAGGTTTCTTTGCTGTTGGGGAGGAGGGTCTATCAAAATGAAAGTAGTGAACGACATTCACTGGGTCGTTTGGAATTGTGTTTCTTTAAATTTAAATTTAAATGTTTTTATTAAAAATTATTTTTTTTATTTTTAAATTTTTTTTATCTACTAATTTTAAAAATTATTTTTTAAAAAATAAAAAAAATATTATTTTAATATATTTTTAAATCAAAAGTACTATAATCTCATATCTATAATCAAGTTTAAGCTTATAACTCTAACAAAACTAATTTTTGATATTTTATACATTATTAACTCAATACATTTGATTTTTTAAAATTCAAATAAGTCAGAATAATGTTTTGTGGTTACTATAAAAATCTAGGCATATGAAATTTTTTATTTAAAAATATAAATTTTTAAAAATAAATAATTGGATAAATTACTTGATTTAATACATTAGAAATATTTGCGATACCCGCAAAACTTTTGTATGCAATTTTAATAACAAGAAAATAAAATCAATATAGTAATAGGAAAAAAATAACCATGTGAAAAAAAAATTAATACCTATAATTTTATGTTTATTAGACATATCAGATTTTTCTATATTTTTATTAGTATTTTTAGCTGGTCACTAAAAAAATGTTATTTATACTAAGGATTTTTTATCATTATTTATATTAAATAAGTGATATAGATTGAATTGAGTTGAGTGAGTTTTAAATATTTCGACTTATAATATTTATTTATTAAGTTTTATCATTTATATAATATATACATTTTAACGGGTTGAATTAGGTTGGATAATGTAAATTTATAGCTACCCTAGTATTTTTTAACAAATTAATTAAAAAAACTAAAATATATAAGAAAAATATTGTATGCATGCCTTGATTTACTGTATATAATACAATTTTTAACTAAAGGGAAAAAAAAAAAACACAGAGAACTGTCTTCAAACGCCTACAATGATCTTTTCACTTGATTCATTTGACATTCTAGAATTGTTTAGGTCTTTCCATGATTTTTTTATATTGTAAAATTATTTTATTACCCTTAAAAGCAAAAAAATAATATATATATATATAGCTACAATATGATGACTCATTTTGCCATTATAATTAAATTTGAAAAGCTTGACTACAGGGATTTAGTCATCATTTTATATCTTTATTTTTTAAACATGTTTTTGGTCCTTAAAGGCAGTGTGATATTTTTATAAATAACTACTTAAGGGCGGCTGGCTCTGTGGTAAAAAATATCTTCTCCAATCTATTTGATTCATCCTAGCATTTTGTTTTTTTATTTATGCAGTGCATGCGTTCAATAAAACTCCGATTCGATCCTAATAATTGTTTTTTTAAAAAAAAATCACCTTTCAAATTTGCAAATCAATCTTTTAAGTTATTTTTTTTATTTTATTTTATTTTATATTTTTTTAATTGATTTCTCAAATTTGATTTTGTTTTTAATTTCATCCTCCTTCAAGTTTTTAATTTATTAAATTTGGTTCTATTCTTTTAATTTTTTTATTTAATATATTTTTTTATTTATTTTATTTTTCAATTTCATCATTTTTTTTCATATTCAGTGCTCATTTTTTTTTAATTTAATTCTTTAATATTAAATTGGTTGATAATTGAACTTCTTAATTCAAGTCTATAATTTCAAGGGTTAGAAATTTAGAATATCAACATAAGTTTAGAAGAT